CATTAATAATTCTCTTATATTTGGGCTAGCTGTGTAAACAGTAGGGGAGTACTTTTCTAACATGCACAAGACCGTACTTCAATCCCTAGCAACCCAACAAAACAAGAGGAATGATCTTGCCAGGTGTGTGGTGTTTGCCTGTGTTTCCAGCACTGTGGAGACTGAAGCGGAAGAGTTGTGAGTGCAAAACTAAATGAGCTCTGTAGGAAGTCTGCTGTCGAGCCTGACAATCTGAGTCATAGTCCTGGGACCTATCTGGTAAAAAGTGTGTGTGTGTGCGTGCCTGTGTGCATGTGCACATGTGCACGCACACATGCACACAGGCACGCCGCACACACCATATACTAAATAAATAGATATTTTTAAAATTTAAAACTGAAGCCGGGCAGTGGTGGTGCACACCTTTAATCCCAGCACTTGGGAGGCAGAGGCAGGCAGATTTCTGAGTTCGAGGCCAGCCTGGTCTACAGAGTGAGTTCCAGGACAGCCAGGGCTGCAGAGAGAAACCCTGTCTCGAAAAAATGAGAGAGAGAGAGAGAGAGAGAGAGAGAGAGAGAGAGAGAGAGTTTAAAACTGAAGACTGACAACTCTATGTGTCTTAGATATAATGAGCTGTCAGAGCTCTCTCTCTCTCTCTCTCTCTCTCATTCTCTCTCTCTCCCTCTCCCTCGCCCCCTCCCCCTCCTCCTTCCCCCCTCTGTTTCTCTTCCTCTCTCTAGGACAGTGTAAGGTAGTTCCTACCATTTCAACAAATGAGTGCCTTTGAAACAGTAGATTCAAATAAATACGTTTATCCTGAAAAAAAAACCTGAAGACTGTAAAAGTAACTTTTATTCTCCTGTACTAATTGTTATCTCTGAGGCTTACAGCATCTGTCTGCCAACCTAGGCCTAGTTCTGGAAGCTTCTAGCCTTATCTAGGCCTAGAAATGTTTTCAGCCTCTGAGATTTACTGCTGAACAAGCTCACCCTTTCTTGTTCTTTCTGTACTCTGGCTGGCTAGTTGAACTCAGCTGTTCTGGCTCAAACTCCTCTCAAAGCTCTCTTAGCTTCTATCAGCTTCTCCTGAATTGCTCTGCTTGGCTTCAAATTAATTTTAACAATCTGTTCTAATCTCCCAACTCCTTCTCATTCTCTGGCTCATTCTGTTTTCACCTGAATCTAGCTTGTTCTCTCTCTCAACTTGTCTCTCTATAACTGTCCTCATAAAACTGCTGTCTTCTTCCTTTCTGCTCTCTGCACTGCTCTCTTAAGTAGCTTCCCTTTACCTCTTTTCATGAGAATTGGGCATATCCTAGTCTGTCAAATCTTTCTCTGATTCATCACTTTGTCTGCCACTCAATTAGACATCACTTTCAAACATGAGTGCTTCCTTCTACATAGTAACTTTACCTTCATTGTTTAGGATTAGAGATGTGTACTAAGCTTGTGTCTATATTCCACCCAGATGATTAAAGGTGTGTGCTAAGAGCTGAGCTTACACTGCAACTAGAAACAGGGTTTCTCAGTAAATCTCAGGGTTCACAGTGTGATCAAATACTCTGCAAGAGGAGACTGGAGAGGTCATAGGCCCAAGGCAACTGTCTAATTAGTTTCAACATATTTATGTTTATGCCCATAGATTAGTGCTGTTGTCAACTTTGGTAAGTGAAGCTTCTTTCTGCAGTGGGTAATGATTACTTCAGTAACTCATACCTGGTCAAACTGCTGAAGGTAGAATCTTAATGTTGGAGGCTCAGTCCTAAATGGAACGTCTAAGCCATCCACTTTAGGATGGAAGAAACATCCCAAAAGAGAGGGTAAGACTATAAGAGCTGAAGGAAGGGTTGGGGGAGATTGGAACACTGTTTTCTGGTCATGATTTGGACCCTTCACCATTCTGTTGTGAAGGGGGAAGGGACTCATGAGACCTCATCCTTTCTTGTGAGCTTTAGGCAGTTAATGGTTGCTGAGAGGTAGAGAGAGAGAGAGAGAGAGAGAGAGAGAGAGAGAGAGAGAGAGAGATCCTTTCTTCAGTGGTGTAACCACTGGTAAATTGCCCATATTCTTGTACTCTTGTAATTAATCCCTCATTAACACTATTGGAAGCAACTCTGGGAAGAGGGAGATCAGTGGAAGTGGGAGGGGAACAAGATACAGTAAGGAGGGTGAATATGACCAAAACACAGTAAGTGCATGTATGTATGAAAATATCACAATGAACTCTATATAATTAAACATAATTAATGTATGTCAATAAAGTTAAAAAATAATTTTGCTGTGTGCAGGAGTGTTTTTTCTTGCATTTATACCTCTGCACCACAAGCATGCCTGGTGCCAGTGGAAGCCAGAAGAGCGTGTTGACTCTCCTGAAACTGGAGTTATTGATGCTTATGAACTACCATGTGGGTTCTGGGAATCAAACCTAGATCATCTGGAGGAACAGCCAGTGCTCCTAAACACTGAGCCATCTCTCCAGCCACCTCTACCCCCATCCCCAATACATTTGTAAAAAAAAAAAAAAGACTTTTATATTTTACATAATGCATCTTCACTGAAGGTCTGTTAAACTGTTCTAATTCCAGTTGGGGTATATCTTGTGTTTCTCTAGTCACTGGCTCCTGTGGTTTTCACTGAGACCTTTCTTTAAAATAGAAGATTTCAGTATTGATACTTAACTATTGAAGTTATTGAATGTGAATTGTCTTAATTTGTTTATTCTAAGTTTCCCCAGGCCCCTATCTTCCAGAAAGAGAATGTTGGGAGACTTTCTGGTTTGGAGTAGGAAGGATGAATGATGGTCCTTCACACATAGGACAAACGAGATCAACAAGATTCCTCTAAACGCAAATCATTTACATGATTGAGGTTTAGTACCCCAAACATATCAAGAACCCTAGGAGTCAATGATAGAATTCTTATCCAAAATTCTTGAGGACCCCTAGAACTGCAAGAACTAATTGGCTAGTTAAAAATGGGCAAAGGATGTGAGTTGACATTCATCCAAAAAAGACATATAAAGGACAAATAGGCATATAAAAATGCTCAACATCGCCGGGCAGTGGTGGCGCATGCCTTTAATCCCAGCACTTGGGAGGCAGAGGCAGGTGGATTTCTGAGTTCGAGGCCAGCCTGGTCTACAGAGTGAGTTCCAGGACAGCCAGGGCTACACAGAGAAACCCTGTCTCAAAAAACCAAAAAAAAAAAAAAAATGCTCAACATCATTAGTTATTGGGGAAATACAAATCAAAACCACAATGAAATACCACTTCAATACCCATCAGGATGGCTATAACAAAAAAGACTAATGATGGCAGCTAGAGACATAGCTAAGCTGTTAAAAGCACTTAGTACTCTTGCTGAGGATCCCAGTTTGACTTCCAACATCCATATCAGGAGTTTCACAACTGCTGATAACTCCAGCTGCAGAACATGGCAACCAGTGCATTCTTCTAGCTTTTACAGGCACCCACCTCTCTCTCTCTCTCTCTCTCTCTCTCTCTCTCTCTCTCTCTCTCTCTCTCTCTCTCTGTCACACACACACACACACACACACACACACACACACACCACAAGTCAGAGGACAACTTGAGAGACTTAGATTGTACTTGCCATCCATTGCGTGGGTCCTGCAGATGAACTTTAGGTTATCAGGCTTGGTGACAAGCACTTTTGCCCATTGACCTTCCTGGGTACCCAAATTGAATTGTATCTTCTTTTAAAATAAAGAAACATAACTTGCAATCCCAGTGCAGAGAGAAGGGTACTAAGAGTTCATGGCTACCCTGCACTAGATAATGAAACCTTGCATTAAAACAAAACATGCAACATAATGGGTGTCGAGATAGTAGAGCAGTTTAGAGTGCTGGCTCTGTTCCAGAGTACTTGGGTTTTATTGGACTCATTGGAGTCATAGCGGCTTACAACCATCTGTAACGCCAGATCCAAAGGATCCAAAGCCTTCTTCTGAACTCTGTGGATGCAAGGCACAAATGAGGTGCACAGACATATATTCAGGCAAAGCACTAGGACACATAAAGTAAAGATATATAAACCTTAAAATAAATAAACCAGAGGCGGTAAACTAGGGGGCGAGAGTGGTGGCTCAGTGGTTAAGAGCCCTGGTTGTTTTTCCCGAGAACCCAGATTCAATTCCCAGCACACGTATGGCAGCTCGCAGCTGTCAGTGACTTCAGTTCCAAGGGATTTGGCACCTCACACAGACGTATATGCAGGCAAAACACCGATGTGCATAAAAAATAAAGCTTAAGAAACAAAGAAGCAATGGGACTGGAGGATACGGCTCAGTGATAGAATGTTTGTCTAGTATGTGCAACACCCTATACTTAATCCCCGCTACAGAAGAAAAACAAAAGCTTCTACTACATTAGGTACTTGTTCTGAATACAACCAGTAAAATCAAAATATTTACTGGTATATCTAAAATCTGGGTTATATGTATAATGTATAGTCCTTTATTTATGTCGAGTTTTACATATACTCATAAATATTCATGAAAAAGAGGGATGGCTCTCAGTAGGTAAAGGTGCTTGCTGCTAAGCCTGAAGACCTGAATTGCATATTTTGAGATCCGCTGAGTGGAAGTAACAGAATTCTGAAAGTTGTTCTCTAACCTCAACACGCGCCTACACACACACACACGCACACAGGCACACACACACGCACACACACACACACACACACACACACACACACACACGCACGCACGCATGCGCGCGCACACACACATACAAGCGCGCGGGGGAGGCGGGGGCGGCGCGCGGGGGGCGCTAATAAATAAGAACAATATTGATGACTGTGTAGAAATAATTTAAATAATACCGAAAGTGTCGTTAACTAAAGCTGCCTCAAACTGAGCTTCTATCAACTCAGCACCCTCCCCCGCCTCCCCCTGCATCTTAGCGGGATGGGACATTCCGGAAGTTAATCAAGCCGGCATCAACACGTGACCAAGGGTGGAGAAAGGGTCTGGCGCCAGTGTCTGTGACGCCATCTCGGCGCGACTCTTCATTTTCCTGGAGTTTTCTGGCTGCTCTGCTGGAGCTATGCCGAAAGTCGTGTCGCGGTCGGTTGTCTGCTCAGACACCCGGGACCGCGAGGAATATGATGATGGCGAGAAGCCCCTCCATGTCTACTACTGTTTATGCGGCCAGATGGTCCTGGTGCTGGGTGAGTGGCGGGAAGTGGCGGCTGCAAGGAAACATCGGGCTTCTTTTTCTCTTTTCTTTTTCAGTTTTCTTTCCTTTTCACCCCCTTCTTTTTCTTTTTTGCTTTGAGATAAGATCTCATTAAGTAGCTCAGGCCGACCTTGAACTCATTATGTATTCTAGATTGCCCCCAAATTTGCTGGTGATCCTCTTGCATGCCACTGCATTCCAGGCGTGCACCACCACTCTAAGGTCAAGGTATGTTTTAGTGACTAAGCGAGGAAATCCTTCTCCATTCCTTCAGATTGCCAGTTAGAGAAATTGCCCATGAGGCCCCGGGACCGGTCTCGCGTGATCGATGCCGCGAAACATGCTCATAAGTTTTGTAACACAGAAGATGAGGAGACTACTTATCTTCGGAGGTAAGGGCTTAATGCTTTAGTTCGCTGCTGTGTGGAGATCTGTTTCCGATAAATGTAAATTATCCTATGCTAGTTTTAAGCAGCTCATACAGTTAGGCCTGATACTTTGACGTTTGTGCTAATATCCTAACTTATTTTCAGTCAACAAATTATTTATTGTACTTTGTTGAAATGGTACTGAAATTTGCCTCTCTTGGCATTTGATGCTCCAGTTACAGGTTTGAATGAGTTAGTACAACCTGTAACTTCTGTTGTTATATTATTTGCAGTATTATTTGCAGGGCTGGGGATGGAACCAAGGGCTTTAGTCTTGCTTGGTGAACTCTCTCCTATAGAGTTACATCCCTAGCCTTATGAATGTCTTGTGCCAGGTACTGAGCTAGGTACCAAATCTATGAATAAGGCACAGTCTTTGTTAAAGAAATCAGTGAGGAAACAGGCTTCTTATTATGATAGAAGGAAATGCCGGTGCTGTGAACAAAGGCTATGAAAAAACAGGTGGGAGAAGGTTATTTATTTCACATGTGTTGTGGTCAGGAAAGGCTCTAAAGGATAGTCATATTTGCACTTGGCTTGAGCTAAGACTTCACTAGTTCTTAAAAGAAGATGTGGAACAATCCAGGTAGAAGGAATTAAGAGCATCAAATGTAATGTCCATGGGAAATTTCAATAGTCTTGTGGCCAAAGCATGGCTTACTGTTTTAAAGAAAAGGCATCATAAGTACTGTGGTGAGGAGAGTGAAATGCTTTGTCTGAAGGCAGTGAAATGCTATTTCTCTCTCCCTTTCTCTCTCCCTCTCTCTCTCTCTCTCTCTCTCTCTCTCTCTGTATATGTGTGTGTGTGTTAGGGGGTGTTGCTCGTGTGTGTCTGTATGTGTGTGCGCATGCTTGTAGAGGTCAGAAGACAATCTTGGGTGTCAGTCCTTGAGTGGCACACACCTTTAACTCCAGCACTCAGAAGGCAGAAGCCAGTGGGTCTCTGAGGTCAGCCTGGTTGACAGAGTGAATTCTAGGATAGCCAGGGATACACAGAAAAACCCTTCTTCAAAAAAACAAAAACAAAAACAAAAAAAGAAGAAGAAGAAGTATCTCTCTTACTGGCCTAGAACTTGTGGCGTACTCCATGTTGGCTGCCCAGTGAGCCCCAGAGAACTGCCTGACTCTGTGCTGGTGTTACAAGGACACCACCAAACCCAACATTAAGCTATTAAGCTAGATTCCAGGTGCCAGGTGATCGATCTCAAGTCCTACTGCTTGCTTGCAAGGCAGGTGCCTTACAGACTGTGATCAATCTCCTCCTCAGCCTTTGTGTGTGTGTGTGTGTGTGTGTGTGTGTGTGTGTGTGTGTGTGTGTGTGTGTGTGTGTTGGTATGTGTTTTGATATATTCCTGTGAGTACAGCTGCCTATAGAGGTGAAGAGAAGATGTTTGATTCCCCTGGAGCTAAAGTTCCTGGTGATGCTTGTCAACCACCTAACAAGGGCCCTGGGAGACAAACTTGGGTCTTCTGCAAGAACAATGTGCTCTTAGTCACTGAGCCATCTCTCCAGCCCCATATTTCCATTTTGTAAGGAAGGAGTGACATAGTTAGATATATATGTTTCTAATTTGAGGAATCCTTGGTGTATATGGGTAATTTAAGGTTACATAAAACGAGCGTAGAACAAAGGATAAGGCTATAACTCAGTGGGTAGAGTATTTGCAATCCTGATACTCCACATAGCTGGTACCCTTGTAATTCCAACTCTATGGAAATCGGAGCAGGAGGATGAAAAGTTCAAGGTCTTCCTCAGATATATATGTCCTAGGCTTATATGAGTCCCTTTGCATACACACAATATAAAACAGATGGGAGAGAAAGAAAGGAGTAAAGATTTACAAAGTAGATCAAAAAATGAATAGAACCAGGAGAACCTAATAACACAGAGAATAAGAAAGGAAAGAGGGCTCTGCACTTAGCAGCACTGGCTGCTCTTCCAGAGGACCTGGATTCAATTTCCAACATCTACACGGTGGCTCACAACCATCTCTAACTCCAGGTCCAGGGGATCTGATGCCATCTTCTATAGACAACACATGCAGGTAAACCTCACACACACACAGGTTTTTTAAAAAAGAGTCCCAAGATGTATATGAAAGATAAGAGTGGTCACCCACAGGTGCCCAATCGTACAGGAGGTCCATTCTAAGGAATAAAATCCACTCATTTATTTAGCAAATACTTCATTTTCTGAGCTCCTTTGTATGCTGAACACTGTCTTACACACTTGAATACACTGGTATATTAACATACTAAAGCTGCTATAGTAAAATACCACAACCTGGGTAGCTTTAAGTAACAAAAATGAACAGGCTCAGACTTGGAGGCTGAAGTCTGAAAATTGTTTTACTGTCTTGCTGTCTTACTTTTTCCTACTACCTATCATCTTTGGGGGGTGAGGGGAGGATGGGGGAGGTCTTACTATGTAGACCAGGCTGTCCTGGAGCTCATAGAGATCTGCCTGCCTTTACTTCCTAAGTTCTGGGATTAAAACCATGTGCCACCAGGCTGGTGTTTTTTTTTTTTTAATTTTTATGTATAATTTGTGGGAGTAGGACATGCATGGGGCTGCCATAGCCTGCCTGTGGAAGTCAAAGGACAGCTTTAAGTAGTATTATTCCCAGGAATAGAACTTGGATCATCGAGATTGGTGTCAGATGCTTTGCACCCTGAGCCATCTCTCTCTTTTCTGAAACTTCCCCCCAGCTATCCTTAGTGGTTTTGAGTTTTAACCCCAGCTATCCTTAGCATTCCTTGGTTTGTCCATGCATCCGCCATTATCTGCCTGTATCATCATGTGGCTTTTTTCTGTGCCTTTTCATTTTTAGAAAGTTGACTTTTTGTATATGAATTTTTGCCTGCATGTATGTTTGTACATCATTTGTGTGCCTTGTGCCCATAGAGGCCAGAACAGGAATCCCTTGGACCTGGAGTTACAGATGGTTGTGAGCCACCATGTAGTTGCTGGGAATTGAACTCAGGACCTCTGGAAGAGCAGCCAGTGCTCTTAACCTCTGAGCCATCTCTCCAGCCCTTGTCCTCTTATTTTAACTTTTTGTTGTTTTGTTTAGTTTTGCTTTGACAGTCTCTCCTGTAGCACAGAGCCTTGACTGGAATACTTGTGGAAAGTGTCCCAATCTTCCTGCTTATACTTCCCACGTGCTCAAATTACATGTGTCATTTTGTCCTAGGTTTTATCCCCCCCCCCATTATTTAGATTATTGTTTTTGAAAATTATCAACTATCTTTAGGATCACTGTAATAAGCACATTTAAAGTTCTGTATTTTAGTAGTATTTATAATGGCTATTCTTGTTTGTCAACTTGACTATATCTGGAATGAACTACAATCCAGAATTGGAGGACTCACCTGTGATCCAGATCTTGAGGCTGGAAGACACAGACTTCTGACCTGGATCTTGGCGTGGAGATCTTGAGGCATAATGGCTATGAAAAGTTTAGGCCCGGGCAGGATAGTACAGGCCTTTAATCCCAGGAGACTGAGGCAAGGATATCTCTGAGTTCGAGGTCAGCCTGGGACAAAGCAAGTATCAGATCTAGGCATGGTGGTACAAACCTCTAATCTGGGCCACAACTTCTGCTAGAGACCTACATAAGGACATTGGAGGAAGGAGGATTCACCCCTTCTTCAATGGTTTGCACTTACTTGCCAGCACATTTGTTAGAACCTACTTATACAGGAGACCAGTTGAAACAACTAGCCTCATGGGACTGAGCAACTACTAGATCTTGGACTTCTCATACATGGCTGCCCATTGTTGGACTACAGACTAAGTCATCACGGTAAATTCCCTCAATATAGAGAGACATCCTATAAATTCTGTGACTCCAGAGAACCCTGACTAATACAGTATTATATATTAATATGTATTATTCTGTTAGTACAGAAAGTAATTTCATACAACTAGGTTTCAGTCTCCTGTATCATAAGGGTAGTCAAGAAAACTACTGGGTGACCCTAGACTGAAGTAGAAACGCTGAAATCCAGTCAGCCTTTAGGCTAAAACAGCCTTAGGCCTAGCCTTACTTAGTGGCAAGTAGTGCCTTATTTGATGGCAGGGCCTAGGCCAGGAACTTGTGGCCAAGCTACTGTTAGGGTTCAGAGTTCTTTTTTTTTTTTTTTTTTGGTTTTTTTCGAGACAGGGTTTCTCTGTGTAGCCCTGGCTGTCCTGGAACTCACTCTGTAGACCAGGCTGGCCTCGAACTCAGAAATCCGCCTGCCTCTGCCTCCCAAGTGCTGGGGGGTTCAGAGTTCTTAGCACTTACCAACAAGCAAGTGTACTCCCTTTATCGTAGTTCATGCTCTAGTCATGAGCAGCTTTTCCAAGGACATACTATACTCTTCTGTTGGCCAAAGCAGGGTTCTAGTCTGTCCTTACTGTTTCTCTTTGTTACCTGTTACTTCTGAGCACGCAGCCCATGGCCCATCTTTTCATCTACTTCTTGAGTGAGCTTGGGCAATTTGTGTTATTGTTTCTTTTGTTTTCATTTTTGTTCTTTGAGATGGGATTTCACTTCGCAGCCTAGGCTGGCCTTCAGCTGGATCTGTTTGCTTTAGCCTCCCATGTGCTGGCCTTAGAGCCAAATGCCACCACACCCAGCCAGGTCATTCTTTTTCATTCTATAACTTCTAAGTTATTTAGTTTGTTGGTATATAATTGTTCATAGAATAACCTGACAGAGTTTTTATGTCTATACTTTTGGTAGAAAACCCTGGAGTTTTAAGTCCTAATGACATCAGAGTAATTCTCTGTACATAGTAATTCCATGAATACAGTATACATATTTGGAGTATTTCCTTTGGATGAAGTCCCATTTTCTATCAGAACCCTGGCAGGAGCATCACCTCTTCATGAAGTTTCTGTGACTCCCTCAGAAAGATAGGAGTACCACCTCTACTGCCATTACAAAGTCCTCCATTTAAGAACTTGATATCATCAGCCAGATATCATCCTAGTTTATGGAGTCTGAAGCTGGAGGATTACTTGAGTTTAAGGTCCACCTGGGCTACATAGGCAAACTACAGATCATCCTAGTGGGCTTCAATAAGATCTTATATCAGAAAAAGCTTCCTCGATTATAAGTTTAGTTTCCTTATTAAGGTAAATTCTTTCAAATTCATTCAGTGTTTATTGTACATCTTCTGTATGTCCAACACTTTTAAGTTTATATCTATGGTATTTTGTCTGCATGTATATTTGTTGACCATGTGTGTACCATGTATCTGCAGAGACAAGAGGGCATTGGACCCCCTGGAACTGGAGTTACAGGTAGTTGTTAACTACCATATGGGTTCTGGGAATTAAACCTAGACCCTTCGGAAGAGAAGCCAGTGCTCTTAACTGCTGAGCCCTCTCTCCAGCCCTATATGTAGTGCTTTGCTCAGCTCTGGCAAGTGGTAAGACAGACTCTGTCTCATCTCAGGGAATGGATGATGGAAATTTAATAGAAAAACCAGGTTTATTGGAAGCCATATGAATGAAACAAAGGGTTGGAAGGGAGAGTGACATGAGAACCTCTTAGTGAAAGTGGTCAGGGAAAGGCCTCTGACTAAGTTACTTAGAAGTGGCATCAAAGTAGATGAAGAGAGCAGCTATAGCAACGTGATGAGCAGAACATTCTGGGCGGAGGGAGGAATGTGTGGACATGGTCACCTGTTGGAAAGCACATGTTCTTTTCAAAGAACTGAAACAGAAGGAAGACTGATTTGGCCAGTGTCTATGAAAGAGGGAGGGATACAATGTAGAAGATGCTACAGAACCCAGTTATGTTCTTAAGTGGTGTCTGGTAAGCCATGGTAAGGAATTTGGATTTTATTCTGTAAAAAGAAGCCACTTCTGCCTTTTTAGATAGTGATTTGGAGGAAGAAACTAATGGGAGAAGATTTTAGAATACGAGGTTGAGATTTTTTATTTCAGATAGGAATTCAGATTGAGGAAGTCCAGCTATGTTATAACATACGTGGCAGAAAGCGAGGGCAAGAGAGAGAGGTTGACTCTGTATTTATTATAGAAAAAAATCTAAAATTTCCATATGCACAAAACAAAACATAAATCAAACACAGATCACAAACTTAAGAAAGAAATACTTGTGAAACTCATTAATAGTGCAAATCTCATTAATAATGGAAGTCTTTTTAATGTAAAGAAAAAACATAACTGAAAAGATACGAGCTAATGGTTCACCAAAAACAAAATACAAAAAAAAAATGGCTATCATACTGGGGCTAAGATGTATAGCTTCAGTTTAAAAAAAAGAAATGCAAGTTGGGAGGTTTCTTTTTTTCTTTCCTTAGTTTCTGAGATGTATCTTGCTATCTTACTGAAAATGTGTATTTTCAGTACTAATACAACTTTGTGGGGTGTGTGTGGGTGTGTGTGTTGCATGCACGTGGATGCATGGATGTATGCACATGAAGAGTCTAGAGCCGAATGTTGGGGTGTCCTTTGTCACCCTGAGACAATATCTCTCGCTGAGCTAGATCTTTGTCATTTCAGCTAGGCTGACTGGCCAGGGATCTCTCAGGATCAGCCTATCTTGATCCCCACAACGGCATATATAGCCGTGCCTGGCTTTTTGTGTGGCTGCTGGGGAGTTTACCTTTGGTCCTTGTTCTGGCAGAACAAGCACTCTTATTCATTGAGTCGTCTCTCCAGCTTCTGACACAGCCTTTGTCTAATGTTTTTCTGCCCATAGTTGGTGAAATCTATAGATTCAGAAACCATGGATGTAAAAGGCTGACTATACTTGTCGTTAATATTGTTGAATTATAAGTCCAGTCACTCTTGTGACTGCTTATATTGCTACCCTTTTGTCTGCTTAGTTAGCATGGTACCTGACCTCTATTAGTTGCTCAGTACATGTTTGTGAAAGAAGGAATGCATGCTACAGTTATGTATTTATTTAACACAATGAAGAGCTTCTGAACTTTTAGCATGAGTTATGGTAAGTGATGAATAAACAGAAGAAATGAGCTAGGAGGTGGAATCAGTTATGAGATATGCTCTTACCTTTTCTTTTTAACTTCCTTTTTCTGTCCAGGCCTGAGGGCATTGAACGTCAATACAGGAAGAAATGTGCAAAGTAAGTAACATCAGTGTGGGGTTTTTTGGTCATAGGTAAGTAAAAGCATGATGTGTTAGGAAAATAAGTCTCTCAACCCAAATGCTAATATGTTTCCCAAAGATGTTAGTTAAATTCCATCCCTGACCAGCTGATTATAAAAGTGAGGAAAATGAGGGCCTTTTTTTTTTTCCTTCTGGGGCCAGGTCTTGCTATGCAGTTCAGCCTAGCCTTAAGCTTTTGGTCATTTGCCCTAGCCTCCCAACTGCTGGGACTATAGGCATGAGCCACCACACCAGGCAAAAACTTGAGGTTGTTTGTTTGTTTCTTTTGTTTCTTTTGTTTCCAGACAGGGTTTCTTTGTATAGCCCTGGCAGTCTCGGAACACACTCTGGAATTAAAAGCAAAAAACTTAATTTTTAACATTGTACAATTTGAGAGAGTAAGATTAAATATGTCTGCAATAAAATTTTCCCATTTAAATATTCAATTTGATGGGTTTTGACAAAAACTACAGTTAAATAATGCCACCACCATCATGATAGAAGACATTTGCAGGGCTTGAGAGATGGCTCAGTGGTTAAGAGCACTGACTGCTCTTCCAAAGTTCCTGAATTCAATTCCCAGCAACCACATGGTGGCTCACAACCATCTATAATGGGATCTGATGCCCTCTTCTGGTGTGTCTGAAGACAGCTACAATGTACTCATATAAATAAAATAAATAAATTTTTTTAAAAAAAGAAGAAGACATTTGCAGCAGTCCACATGTCCTTTGCAGCCAGTCTCCTCCGTTCACCCTTCCCTGGTAGTCACTGCTTCATGTCCCTGTGTTCTTGCCTTTCCTAATGTTTTAGGGGAAAATCTATAAGTTTCCTACTACATACAAATGTATGTCTTTTATACCTGGTCTGTCTTTCTCTGTTCCCCTCTCCTCTTCTCCCACTCCCTGCTTGCCTGCCCACCTCCCTTTCTGCATGCCTGTCCTCCCTCCCTCCCTCCCGCCCTCCTTCCCTCCCTTTATCCCTCCCTTCCCCTTCCTTCCTTCCTTCCTTCCTTCCTTCCTTCCTTCCTTCCTTCTTCCCTCCCTCTCTCCCTCCCTTCCCTCCCTTCCTCCTTCCATACATGTGGGGATCTAAAGACAACTTGCAGAAGGTTCTTGCCTTTTTCCCTGTGGGTGTTGGGGATCAAACTCAGGTTGTCAAGCTTGGCAATAGGCTCCTTTAACTACTTGGCCTCTCACTGGCCTCTATACTTAGTTTTTCTGTTTGATGTTTTTTGGATTGATCCAAATTGCTGTGAGATCATTCGTTTCTCTTTATTGCTGCGTATCCCATCCTATCAGTTCATTTACTTATTCACAGTGTTCTTTATTTTTGAGTATTACATGGTATCAGCTTGTTTGCCCATTCACAGTGAGTTTGAGTTGCTTCTAGTTTTATCTATTACCAGTAACATTGCTTTGAATATTCTAGATAGGTCTTATTGTGGGAGATAGATATGTATGTATGTATACACACACACACACACACACACACACACACACACACACACACTGGAGTAGAATTGGCTGGGTCATAACAGAAAATGTGACAATATAATTTTGTTAGTTCCAGGTTCGTGTATACAATGTATTATGTAGACTGTAAAGCTAAGAATCCTTTTTTTTTGGTTTTTGAGACAGGGTTTCTCTGTATAGCAACAGCTAAGAGTCTTAAAGGATGTTTTTTTTTTTTTAAACAAAATTTCCAGCTTTAGGCTATTAATAGTAAGACTATCAATGATTTCAATTTTTCGTGTCGTTTTGAGTCAGGGTAGTTCTGGCTGTCTTATAACTTACTGTGTAGACCAGGCTGGCCTTGAGGTCACAGAAATCCACTTGCCCATGCCTCCTGAGTGCTAGTATTAAAGGTTGGCCACTATGCCTGGCAGTTGAGTTTAATCTTAATGTAAGGACAGTTGTGTGTTGGCTCTCAGAAGACTCCGAGTAGGAGCACTGAATGAAGCAGAGGAAAATAAGTTGAAGACAGGAAGGCATTTGAGTAGTTAGCCATACTGGATGGATGAAGCTAGTTTTTCTCATATCTTATAGGTCTACTTTTTAGCTCAGAAAACATAATGGTCAGCCGTGGCGGTTGTACAACATTTGATTTGCCAAACACTGCAGTGATACTTGTCCATTTCTCTTGAAGCTTTAAAATGAAATAGCAAAGGGAACAGAATGCCCAAACCAGTGTTAAAGCGCCTGGGAAGAATGGTAGCAGTTTTTACTACAAAGCCAATAGCAGCATTAGCTAGTACTTCCCAAACTTTGTTTGATGTCAATACACACGTGTGATGCAGATGAAAATAGCAAAGTCTCGGGCCTCACTCATCCCTACATTTGCCAAGCTAGAATATTCTGGTCGAGACCTAGGAATCTGATCAGAAATTTCAACATGCATCCTAATTAATTCTTATCAAGTTCTTTTGGGGAAAAGTGAACATATTATGCCACAAACCAAACTATTCTCAGAAACTGGGTCTACTTTTGCAAGCGTTAAGGATGTAGAATTAGAGGCCTCCCAGAGATTCACTCTGCCATTTGCAGGTGTGGACTGCCGCTCTTCTACCAGTCCCAGCCGAAGAATGCTCCTGTGACCTTCATTGTGGATGGAGCAGTAGTGAAATTTGGCCAAGGCTTTGGGAAAACCAATATATATACTCAGAAACAAGAGCCTCCTAAGAAGGTAATTATCACCAAAGGACACAGACGGCTTAAGATAGCTACACATTTAGCCCCAAATTTAATTAGTGCTGGGGATCAAATCCAGGACTTTTGCATGTTAGGCAAGCATCACTGAACTGTAGCAACGCCCCCCCCCCAATTTTTAAAATATGATATATAATACCTGAGAAAGTTGGATTTGTTGATGAAGTACTTAATGAAGAAAATTTCACTGTTGTGTACAAGTAGATATTATAGGACTATAACGTTTATTATTTGTTTTATATACAGTAGTTTCGTAACCTTAGACATTGTATAATCTTTATTTTCTTTTTCAGTTTTTTTTAAGAGTGGGAACAACTAAATCCTCAATGAATTAGACTGATTTTTAAATATACATTTTAAAGCCCTTAATAGTGGGCCAGAGAAATGGTTCAGCCATTAAAGGCTACACTCACAACTGAAAATATATGAGTTTGGTTCCTGGCACCCATGGCTGTCTCTTCAGCTACCTTTTGCATGATGGTGGTGATGGTGGTGGTGACGACAGTGGCTGTGGTGCTGGTGGTGGTGGTGGTGGTGGTGGTGGTGGTGGTGGTGGTGGTGGTTCGTGCCTTTAATCCTAGTACTCCAGAGGCAGAGGCAGGCAGATCTTTGATTTCCACCCCAGCCTGGAATACAGAGTGAGTCCCAGGCCAGCCAGGGCTACACAGAGAAACTGTCTTGGAAAAAAAACAAAAAATGCCAAAAACCTCAATAAGAAATGCTTCAAAACATTAACATTTAGATAGTCAGCCTGTCCCTAAGAGGCAGGCATTCCCACACCCCTTCTGTAAACAGACATGCACATAAACACACTTGTATACAAGGCTCATGGATCCTTCTGGGGTGAACTTAGCTTGATGCCTCTTCCTCCTATTCTAGGTTATGATGACCAAAAGGACTAAAGACATGGGCAAGTTCAGCTCTGTTACGGTATCTACCATTGATGAAGAAGAAGAAGAGATAGAGGCTGTAAGTGCTTCTGCTTTCAGGGAAAGTGGAGTAGGGGAAGGGAGCAAGGGGACTCTAGGGTCAGAGCCTCTGCGGAGCAGAAGAGTTGGCAACCTAGCTTTCACACTCTGCCCTGCTAGTAAGCAGTTCTATGCTATTGGGCTAGTGCCTGTCTCCTAAATGGGAGAGACAGCTATAAAGTGAGAACAAGGAACTTGGATCCTCTCATTGCTTTTTCATTTTAAAGCTACTGAACTGGATTCAGGCCTTTAATTCCAGTACTCTGGAGGCTTAGGCAGAAGGATTTCAAATTTAGGATCTACATGCATTCCATAGCAGATTCTATCTTCAAAGCAATAATAAATAAATGAGATACTGCACTGGATAGTTTTCAGTCCCTCCCAGCCTGGCCCTGATGGTTTGAGTATGTCCTTAGTACCAGCAGTTGCTTTTCTGGTATTTCAGTCAAGTGGTTTTTACTGAGGGCCCTTATCAAATGATCCCCATGGAAACCTGAACTTTCCTGGGTCATTGAGAAGATAAAGAGTTACAATCTTAGACTTAAGTGGTATAAATAACTACTGAGATCTTTGTTGTGGTTCCTGAGAAGTGCATCATCGGTCTAAAGATCTGTTCTGTTTTCCTATAGAGGGAAGTTGCTGACTCCTATGCACAGAACGCCAAAGTGATTGAAAAGCAGCTGGAGCGCAAAGGCATGAGCAAGAGGCGGCTGCAAGAGTTGGTAAGTGGCATGGGGAGGAAGGTCCCAGGCCTGCCTGACTTGGATTTCTTGCTTTGAATGATTTGCAGAGGCAGAGAGAGCCTTTAGGAAGCTGTTGGGAGTTACTAGTATAGTTGGCTGCCACTGTTCTCACCCAGGCTCTGAATGTGTTTGTAAACCCTGCTCTACAGTAGTGACTGGAGCCCAAAGCCTAAATTAGAAAATCGTATGTGATAGGCCTAACTAGGGTCATGTTTTACTCTGCTGCTTGTGCTCTAAGGTCAGGAGTTAAGAGCCAGGTTCTTAGTGCTCTCCAGTGTGATGGTGTCCAGTTGTGCTACTCAGTATAGCTGAATTGGAGTTGCTAGCACTGCTTTTAAAGCACTGCTGGTTTTGTCTTATCCATGGGATTAACTTAGAGCACAGCACCTCTGTGTAGGTTGGGATCTCCATTTGTTTTGCTTATTAAATTATAATTAATATGTATATATGTATGTATGTATGTATAGTATAGTATACATTCTGACTGCCCTTACCTGTACCCTCTTATCTCTCTCCCACTTCTGTCCATTTCCAATTTCTTTGTGTTTTTTTTAATAATTTTTTTTTAGATAATAATTGCTTG